CTTGAGAATGAAACCAAGAACAGACAAGATGAGCAGGAAGACAGTGAAAAATCGGAAGAGTGATGTTATCAGCGATTGATTGATCAGCCGTGTATTCTTCTGTACATAGTTTAGTTGTCTAGTATTAGTTTAGTTTTAGATTCTAGATTTAAAAAATAAAAATTCCCATTTATATGTATCGGGTCCTCACGTACCATGTAATCTGTATTATTTTATCATAGTAAGCTGATATTTACATTTTCTCTGCGTGTTAAAATTGTAATCTGTTCTTAATGTTATTGTGACATTGCGGTGTTCATGGTTAGTTTATACTTACCCATAAATAATGGGTTTTGCATTTTACTGTAACCAGACCATTCCTCGTAATTGTTAATACTGTATAACGGTCTTGTCAACTTTTGTAATTTTGGTTATTAATAATTTCCGATGCAGCGCTCTGAGGTCCTAATAACTTTTTTCAGCATTACTTTTCCCCTTTTCCTTTATACTTCTCCCTTCAGAACCCTTCCTTCAACCCTTTCTTCACTCCTTTCTCTTCAAAGTGGGCTAAGTTTGCAAAAGCACAGCCCTTCCTCCTCCTTTATTATTGTTATTATTATTATCAATGCTTCTGTTATATATTGATAAGTGACTAGCAAAAAGACATCACTGCAGATTCATTCTTCAAGCTACCAAAGAACCAAGAAAACCTTACATGAAGGCTAGGCCTAGCCAGCCACAATTATCACCTAATGTAGATCTTCCTGTACAGATAATCACAGACACTGAAGAAATACAAAAGTGCTAACAGAATTAAAAACAAAATTAGAAACAAAACAAAAATTAGAAACAAGATTAAAAGAACACATCACGGATTTGAAATATAATAGCATCAACTCTTTTTTTTATGAACATTGCACAACCCACAACTGCAAAATAGATAAGAATGATGTTATAATAGTACACAGAGAAAAAAATTGGTACAAAAGAAAATTTAAGGAAAACTACGAAACTACTACAGACAAAAATAATATTAACAAGAATCTAAGCATTGAAATTCATAAAAACTGGCTACAACTATTAAAATAGAATGTTTATACAGTCACAGGCGAGGCTGTGTGCGGCACTCTGAGAGTGAGACGCTACAAGTTATGAGGCATGTGGGGGAGGCCGTCAAGTCGGGAGGGAAGGGAAGGTGACTGGGAAGTATGGAAGGTGTCTGACAGATACTGTACGCACAAGATACAACCTATCTATGTAACAGACTGAAGAGGGGCAAAAGCCCGAAATGCGTACTGTATCTGTATGGATTAAAAGTGGATGATGAAATTATTTGTCAAGTGTCAATAAATTCACCAAATCGTGACATTGAAACAAACAAAACAAGACAACGACACGGTTTCGACAAATAAATAAATAAAGTATTTCATATTGAATAATTGTAATTCAATTGCCAGTCAAATTCTGACCACTAAATTATAACTTTTTATTTACCCTGTCAGTAATTATTAGCAGTTCTTTTTGAAAAGACCTGAACAACTGACAAAATTAACTCCCATCGAGACAAGAGGAAACAGAATTCTTCTTGTCTTGGGTGGGGGATTTTCTCCTCAGAAACCAGCAGAGCACAAGAAAAAAACAAAGGAAATGGGAAACAAGTGTAGGATAATGGGCTACATTAGGAAAGAAAAGAGACAGAAGAATGAGAGAAGATGAAAAAAAAGAGACTCTTGGTACGAGGACCGAAGATAAAGAATACCATGAAGGTAGGCTCTGATGGTCTAGATTTTAAAATAAGTTAGTCGTCCCTGGACTGCCATCTTGCATCACCAAAATTATTATTTTCTGATTTGCATTTTAAACCCCAAAATACAACCCACCTCCATAACACCAAATTAGTAAAATGTCATGTCAGGTTGAGCACCTTCACAACCAAGAGGCTTTAGAAATTTACAAAGCCGGATCGGCTGGCAACTGTATTAACGCAAAGAATGCTGCTAATGTTACTTATACATGGAGGTGGTGCTATGAGAAAAAACGAGAGCAACATTAAATGCCTATGCTACACAATTATGTACAGTACATCTTAATATTTATTTGTTGTATCACTATTTTAAAGATATTTATATCACTATTTAAATTAAAAGATTAAAAGATATTTATATCACTAATATTTGTATCACTATNGATACCGGTAGCAATTTTTTCGTAGTTTTATAGGAATCGTAATTATAGGGGGTCGACTGTAATTTGCTGTTAAGAGAGATAGATGTACAGCAAGTGCTTGCTTAATATTGTTGAGGAAAAAGAGAGGTACATTTGTAATCATTCACAATTATTATTGAAATTTCTCTACAGACAGTAAAATAGATTCTATGAAGTGAGAAATAAATGTTGGAAGTTGCAAACATGTTCTAATTAGAATATTGTTTACTGAATTACTGAATTTCATCATATGCTAAATGATATAAATAATATCTTATTTATATCAATTAGCATATGATGAAATTCATTTCATTAATTAAACACAGTTTCCAAGAACCTATCAACAACATTAAGTGAGGACTTGCTGTATAATTTTTGGATACTGGAAATAAAGATTTCTATCAAGTTTAAAAAATCGGAAATTGGGATTCAACTTTTGACAATATAATAAAATTTTTGCATTGTATTGAGCTGCATTATATTGGATCTAAATACAGAGTATCTGTTATTAAAGTGTATCACTTTAGACCACTCTTGAGACAAAACTGTTAGAGATAGATCAATAAACTTTTGTAGGCACATTTATCTCAACATGGGAAAACTTTGGATATAGTTTCAAAAATAGTTAGTTTCCATTGCTAGGGATCTATGAAGTGTCATAAGTTCCCAACCTAACCTACCCTTATTTGAAACTTTTAAAATTAGAAGGCAGCTACATTTTATTTATAAAATGGTTTTTCTGTTTTACATTTCCTGAAGAGCGCTGATAAAATAGTGGCTGAAAACGTTCAAACATTGAAGTTAAGCATTTCTTTGCTAGAAGTTTTGCATTTAGGTGTGATTCTCTACTCTAACCTACTGTGCATAACTGAAAGACATGTCATGAAAAGTATATATAAGATTAATGTCTTAGTGTTTGATGCAAATTTAGTAGCTGTAGTACTAATAGGTGATTCATAGTGGACTTTTGTATATTACATGGCAGCAAGTTTTAAACTAGAATATTGGACAGTCATCAAGTTTCTTACAAAAGAAGGCCAAGTGCCCATGAAAATCAATCAATGTATGGAAAAGCTTTACCATCATATACCACTCAAAGAATGGGCTAAACATTTTCAATTAGGAAAAGAATTCCTTGAAGATGACAGAAGATTTGATTATTCAGTAGATGCAGCAATCTGTAATCAATCAATCAATCACTCAGTTGATGTGATGGAGAAGTTGATTCTTTTAGATCACTGGTTGAAAGTGAAAGAAATAGTAGCAATGACCGACATGTTGGATACAAGTGTTTGGTATATATTACATGAGCATTCAGGCATGAACAAGTCAGTGCAAGATGTGTTCCCAAACTTTGTTCTGTCCAACAGCAGCAGTATGTAGAAAGTGCACTGTTTACTTTTATGAAGCAGATAGTTGATTTTTTTTAAATCTATTGTTGCATGTGATGAAACTATGTTTCTTTATTATGACCCTTTTCCAAAATAGAATCAAAGGAGTGGCAAAAACTGTGGGAGAGAGTCCCAAAAATGGCTTAAATATTGCCATCAACCAAGAAGATATAGCTACTATTTTTTGGGATTAAAAGGGCATATTGATGGTGGACTTTAAAGAAAGAAATAATACTATAAATGCAAAATATTATTCAATGTTTTTACATTAGTTGTGTGCAGATATGTGAGAAACATTGAGGAAAATTAAAAAGAAGAGTGCACTTGTTGCGTGACAATGTAGCCATCCACATTGCAGTACTTACTCAAGCTGCCATTTGAGACTGACTTTGAGCAGCTCAGTTACCTGACTTAAAACCCGTATCTGGCCCTGTCAGACTATTTTTTTGTTTTCAGATTTTAAAAAAGCTCTTTGAGGAAAACATTTTGACAATGAGGAGCTGTAAATAGCAGTAATGGATGATTTTAAACAAAAATCTTCAGAATAGTTATAAAAAGGGATTGAATGCTTTTTAAATATTGTCATAAGTGCATTGAAATCAAGGACAATTACAACAAAAAATAACCATTGTTTGTTTTTTTCCCTTGTCCTTTCTTATTAGATCAAGAACTTATGTCACATCCTACATATAGGCCTTACTGTCACATCAGCATCAAGGAGAATGCTTTGTCACTCTCAGTCACGTGTTACTATTGGGTTATAACTTTAGTAACAGTTGAGTGCAACATTTCTGGATTAATGAGGCTCACTTCCTTTTTAGTTTGCTTCTTTAGTTCTGATAAATCTGCAACTCCACTTATATAAATTTTGCTTTTCAAATAGCCCCATAACCAGAAGTTACAAGGTTTGAGATCAGGTTAGCAAGCAGGACTTTGCATTGGAAAAGATTGACTGATCACTTTTTCATGTTAGACACCAAACATGCTAGACAGTATATCTCCCACAATGATTGCAAAGTGAGGTCTTTCACCATCTTGCATAAACATTACTCAAACATCCTCTCAGCTGTACTTTAGAGATGACAAAAGTTTGTAGCATGTTTTCATAGTGCTGCTGCAACAGTGGTGCCATTATAGACACACTAGCAATAAAAATTGTAACTGTTTTTGAAACTGTAGTTTCTCCATATTGAGATAAATATGTCTACAAAATTTTATCTGTCTACTACTAACAATTTTATATCCAGAGTAGTCAAATAATGGTATACTTTAATTACAGATACCCTATATATTTAATGTGTAATTTTTATTCAAATCATTCTATATACATAGGATGATTTGCATTTCTATTTAAATAATCCTACATATTGTGGTGGTGCCCACCATGTTTGTTTTTGTTTTTTTCTTTTTTTCCCTTCATGAAGGCTTAAATGTGGTATTCCTTTTTTTACTAAAATATTATTGTTTATATGTATTATTAGTAACGTTATGTCAATGTAAATATTCGTGTGTTATAATAATTGTCTATTTTATTTTTTAATTTGTAATTTGGGAATGTAACACAAGGGGGCGCTAGGGGCAACTGATATATAAGGAGTGTAAATGGATCATGGGATACTTTTTGGCTGTTTGAAGACTTTGGCGGGAAGAAGAAGAAAGAAAAGGACCGAGCGAAAAGGGAAGAATAGCAAGATCTTGGATTAAGAACAACTAGTCACATTGTATGTATGTTTCCCCTTCGACCCCGTTCTGGCTGTACTCCTAGTGTTAATATACGATTATCTCTGCTCTTAGTGTTGTCTGTTTTCTTTGTCTACTCAAAACACGACACACCACATATGGCGTCCGCGACAGGATACAGCCAGTAGGGTCATAACTTGTATTTTCTATCCGGTGTTGCATTTAGAACTGTTTGAATATTTTTATATATCTGGATATATCATTGTCATTATGTCGGTTAATGTACAGGAAGACGCTAGCGAACTGGGAACTACTTCCAATAGGGAAGGTGAGCCACCAATTATATCAGGGTACCTCGGAATGGTCCCGTTCTTTTCTGGTGAACGTGGTTCGATAAATGTAATACAATTCTTTAGATGTTTTGAACAAGTGGCCTCCCTGGCCAAATGGCGGGATGCATCGACCCTGATAATAACCTTAAGGGCCAGGTTGAAGGGTAGACCATTATTACTGTTCTGTGAGAGTGAGGCAGTGCATGGTGAGGACTATGAAAGGATAAAGGGGGACATGATTAGTGAGTTCTCGCCCAAAACTACAAATGCTGCAATGGCAATGGATTATTCGCACTGAGCAGAGAAAAGGTGAAAGTGTGAGGGAGTTTACTGTGAGAGTCAAGTCCGCCATGGAGGTTTTAGAGCTTAGCTCACCTCAGTACAATAATATAAAGGGTGAAATGTTGAAGGAGCAATTTATTCGAGGGCTTGTACTGCCAATTCAGCAGGAGGTCATTAGGCTGGAACCTAAAAATTTGGAAGAGGCAGTTAGGCAAGCAGAGAATTTTGTCCAGCAGAAAGAACGTTATGCAAGGGTGGAGTCAAAATGTGCGGTCGTTTCCTCTGAGGAGGTTGCTGTGGACAAAGTGGAAGCTTGTGTAAATCAGGTTAGAGAAAATAGCTCATCATATGAAGATGAGATAAAGGAATTGAGAAGTAAGGTGGAAAGCCTCACGACATTAATGCAAAGTGCTTTGTTGGGAAATAGAAGAAGGGGTAGAATTCGACGGGAACAACCGCAGTGTTTTGAGTGCGGAAATATGGGGCATATTCGTAGAAGTTGCCCCCATAGAGTCAATTTAAACTAGAAGTTTCCCACCATGGGGGTCAGCATGGCGGGAGTGAGTGCATCAAACTGACCGGTCTGGAACAGAGTGCAAGGGGTCTACCCGTGTGCAGGGGACATGTTGGTGATTTGAGTGGTGTCTTCTTGATAGATACTGGAGCTGAGAAATCATTAATTGACCAAAACATAGTTATGGGCCTGGACAGTCCAGAATTTCTCGAAATGGACGTATCTATAAAGGGCATAGGAAGTACACCAATAAGATACCAGAAAGGTATCAATATAAATGTAAGAATGTTGTCTGGCAAAATTATATGTCACCCATTTGTAATTCATGATACTAATAGCAATTTTGGTTATAGCGGCATACTTGGTATGGATTTTATCATGTGTGATCCAAGTATAATAAGAAGTGTGTCCAAGATGCTATGTACTGGTGCACACGAAGATGATATACAGACCGACAACAAAATTTCGGTCACATGTAACAAGATAATCACCAATAGCGTAATCGAAAAAATTCCTATTTCTCATATAAGCAGCGAATGGAAAGAAAAGGTTAGGTCTGTCATCTTAGAAAACTCTAACTGTTTTGCAATGGCCATCGAAGATTTAAAAGGGACTACGAAATTTATTCATGAGTTTGAGCTCAAATCTGATAAGCCTATACACACCAAACAGTATAGAATCCCGCATGTGCTCCTTCCGAAATTAAAATCTAAACTTGAGGCATACTTGACTGCTGGCATTATAGAGCAGAGTGTTTCACCATGGAACTCTCCGATCCACTTAGTTGAAAAGAGGGATGGTGACATCAGACTGACTCTCGACCTACGTAAAGTGAATGAGGTTATGGTAGGGCAGGACTTCCCCATGATGCGTGTACATGACATCCTTGCACAACTGGANCGCTAGCGAACCGGGAACTACTTCCAATAGGGAAGGTGAGCCACCAATTATATCAGGGTACCTCGGAATGGTCCCGTTCTTTTCTGGTGAACGTGGTTCGATAAATGTAATACAATTCTTTAGATGTTTTGAACAAGTGGCCTTCCTGGCCAAATGGCGGGATGCATCGACCCTGATAATAACCTTAAGGGCCAGCTTGAAGGGTAGACCATTATTACTGTTCTGTGAGAGTGAGGCAGTGCATGGTGAGGACTATGAAAGGATAAAGGGGGACATGATTAGTGAGTTCTCGCCCAAAACTACAAATGCTGCAATGGCAATGGAGGAATTTATTCGCACTGAGCAGAGAAAAGGTGAAAGTGTGAGGGAGTTTACTGTGAGAGTCAAGTCCGCCATGGAGGTTTTAGAGCTTAGCTCACCTCAGTACAATAATATAAAGGGTGAAATGTTGAAGGAGCAATTTATTCTAGGGCTAGTACTGCAAATTCAGCAGGAGGTCATTAGGCTGGAACCTAAAAATTTGGAAGAGGCAGTTAGGCAAGCAGAGAATTTTGTCAAGCAGAAAGAACGTTATGCAAGGGTGGAGTCAAAATGTGCAGTCGTTTCCTCTGAGGAGGTTGCTGTGGACAAAGTGGAAGCTTGTGTAAATCAGGTTAGAGAAAATAGCTCATCATATGAAGATGAGATAAAGGAATTGAGAAGTAAGGTGGAAAGCCTCACAACATTAATGCAAAGTGCTTTGTTGGGAAATAGAAGAAGGGGTAGAATTCGACGGAAACAACTGCAGTGTTTTGAGTGCGGAAATATGGGGCATATTCGTAGAAGTTGCCCCCATAGAGTCAATTTAAACTAGAAGTTTCCCACCATGGGGGTCAGCATGGCGGGAGTGAGTGCATCAAACTGACCAGTCTGGAACAGAGTGCAAGGGGTCTACCCATGTGCAGGGGACATGTCGGTGATTTGAGTGGTGTCTTCTTGATAGATACTGGAGCTGAGAAATCATTAATTGACCAAAACATAGTTATGGGCCTGGACAGTCCAGAATTTCTCGAAATGGACGTATCTATAAAGGGCATAGGAGGTACACCAATAAGATACCAGAAAGGTATCAATATAAATGTAAGAATGTTGTCTGGCAAAATTATGTGTCACCCATTTGTAATTCATGATACTAATAGCAATTTTGGTTATAGCGGCATACTTGGTATGGATTTTATCATGTGTGATCCAAGTATAATAAGAAGTGTGTCCAAGATGCTATGTACTGGTGCACACGAAGATGATATACAGACCGACAACAAANCATAGAAAGATTAACCCTTCCACGTAAAGATGGCAGACGTGGCCTGATTGACATAGTTAACCTCCACTACAAACAAATACAGACATTGCGTAAGTTTTCTACTAAAAAAACAAGAAATATTACAGTTGCATGAAGCAGTAACTCTAGCAGACTCAAATAATACACCATTAAATTTACATTCACAACGTATGGACACAACACAACATATAAATAGCATAGACATCGTTAACTCGAGTAAGGTTTATAGCATTAAAAAAAACCAGGTGTTTGGGTCCCTGAAAAATTTTTTTTTATTTTTGAAACGTTTTTTAGGTCCCCAAATCTTTTCAATATTTTTTGCCCGCGCAAAAAAATTTTATCGCAATTTTAATCAACCTTTAATGACGCGCGCTTCACGCTTTATTGCTTTTTAATGTTTTTTTTAATGGGAGTTTTTTATCAAAATTAATTAATCGTTCTAAAGTCATAGTGCATCGCTTTTCCTTCAATAAAGTTATTTAAAGCAGCTTTCTGATGTCAAAAACGACCTCCAATAGTTTTTTAATTTTTTTAATTAATAGATTTTATTATATATATGTTTAATTAATTAGGGGAGTCAGAAATTGCAATAAAAATTAATTTTTTAAAAATATAGGTTTACTTTCTAGTCACCCTACTTTAAACCCTTCTCCTCCCGAGACGTCTGAGAATGTCCCGGGAAATATGACACCAGCTGTTCTCAGGGTCATCCAGATGTGTAAACAATGACTCATCGGTGTTAAATTTCACAGAAAGGCAAGACAAACAAAACTAAATGATGAAGCGTTTTAACCAAAATTAACGCATTTCTTTCGTTTTTTTCAGTTTTAAATATTTTTTATGCTTAATTAAAAATTTTTTTAAAAAGGTGGACAAGAAGCAGTTAATCAATTGTGGGAAGAGCCTATATGGCTAGCATCTCCATATCAACCGAAATAAAAAGAAAAAGAAGAAGGAAAAACAATCGTGGGCTCAAAAGGCACTCCATGGCAGACATCCTTATGACGTGGCCCAGGATTTTGTTAACAAAACTGCGTCAAATAGCTGGTTAGCTCGGGGATGCCTCTTTCGCACAAAAACACATTCGCCTAGATTCAGACATTATTAACCATACTGAGGACGCGCCACATTTCATTGACAGAGAAATAAACCTGGCATTCTGTAATTTACACTCTGGTAAAGCCCCTGGACCAGATGACATTACTCCTGAACTTGCTAAAAAGTTATGGTTATTAATCCCTAACCAATTAATTAAACTATATAACACCTGTTTAACACATTCTATTTTCCCTCGGGCCTGGAAAATTGCTAGGATAGTACCGGTTCCAAAGCCTGGGTCCCAAAATGATGCAAGACCAATTTCACTGCTCCCTATACTTGGTAAAATACTAGAAAGATTAATAATGAATAGATTATCTTGGCATGTTGAAAGTAACAATTATCTAAGTGATGCACAATATGGATTTAGGCCTAAAAAATCTGCTGAAATGGCAATAGAAAACATGGCTCAATCTGTTCAAACACTACTTGATAGCTACAAATACGTACTAGGGGTCAGCTTAGATATAACAAAAGCATTTGATAGTGCTTGGTGGCCCTTAGTTAAGTTTCAACTACGTAAGATCAACTGCCCAAGTAATATCCAAAGAATAATGCACTATTATCTATGTCAACATGAAGCAATACTACAGTATGGTCAGCATGAGGTTTGCAAGACAATTACTAGAGGTTGTCCACAAGGTTCCGTATGTAAACCTCTTTTATGGAATATAACTTTTAATGCATTCTTGAGTGAAAACTTTGGATATACAAAATGCTTCGCATGTGCAGATGATGTCATGCTGTTGATTGGTGGAAGGTCCAGGACAGAATTAGAAAATAAAGTTAATGATATGCTACAGAACATGTGTAACTGGGGAAACAAACATAAATTATCCTTTAATCATATTAATTATAACTAAGGCAATTGTCTTTAATAAACCTGGAAAGCAAAACTTATATTTAAGGCCACCTTTATTTAAAATGAACACAATACCATTCATGTTAATAAAACACTGAAATACCTGGGAGTTATCTTAGATTATAGATTAGGTTGAAATGACCACATAAAATATATAACAGATCGTGTTGGGCTGGTATTAAATTCGTTTTCACAAATAGCAGAGAGAGATTGGGGGCTCTCTGCTGGAGCTATGAACATTATATATGATGGTATTTATATACCAATTATTACTTATGTTTGCGGTACTTGGGGCTGTTCCACAAGTAAAGTACACATTAGGAGGAAATTAATATCTTCACAAAGGCATGCCCTAATGATCACTAGAGCATTCTGCACTACTAGCAATAAAAGTGTACAAGTTATTGCCCAAACACCCCCTATTGATATTATAATCAGACAAAGGCAAAAACTACAACAAATTAAATGGGGAAATTGCATCAACCTCATCTCTGGCAGCCTAACTCCAAATGACATAAAATGGTCTTTTCCCTTTAAAAACACAATTCAGTATGGCATACCATTAAGCTACTTACATGATAACAATCATTCAGCTAATATAAAAATATATACAGATGGGTCTCGCATAAATGATTGCGTGGGTTGCAGCTTTGTGGTCTATTATGACAACAGTGTAATTTTCCAACAGAAAATTCGTTTAAATAATTGCTGTACTGTTTTTTCAAGCGGAGATGTACGCCATCAAAAATGTCATTACCTGGTCTAATAGTATATTTAATCATGCTAACATCAATATTTTGACTGACTCACTCTCTGCATACAACATCATCTATGGAGATAATTTACATCATATGGCTGAGAAGATCAGGAACTTGATCAGGCTTGATACCTCCACCTATGAAATCTCATGGGTTAAAGCCCACTGTGGAATATCAGGTAATGAAAGGGCTGATATTTTGGCCAAACAAGCAGCTGAAAATACAACATTGCCAATCTTATATAATAAAATTAGTTTACAAACATTACGACGCCTCCTATGGAATGATTGTATGCAGATATGGCAGGAGTTCTGGAATGAAAACTCTAATTATATTACGTATGAATTTATTCCAGACATATGCAACTTACTTAATTTGAAATGGTATATTCCCAACTATTATACAACGCAAATGTTTAGCGGACATGGGAAATTTGCCAGCTATTTGCATAAATTTACGAACAGACCTAATAATCATTGTCTTACTTGTTTAGTTGAGGATGGACTGAAACACTACTTTTTTGATTGCGTGATGTTAGAAAAAGAAAGATTTGAATTGAAACTGTTACTAGAAAAATATAGTGTCAATTGGCCCTGCAACTTATCGGACATTTGGATAAACAGGGAAATTTATAATGCTTTCTTTGAACTATCGAGAAAGACTAATTCTATAACACACCAAACCATCTATAATTAATTGTTAATTACATCTGTATATCTGTATTCATCATTTGTGACATTATTGCGCATGTATACCCTGCTCCGCCCGTCTATAAATATACACTTATCACCACTCTATTGTTTCTTATTGTTAATTAGTTATGTTTATTAACTATAAGTTAATTATGGTATTACCTATGGGCATTAACGCTCTAACCATATCAAATAAGTATTAATAATCTCGTATTAAGATACTACAACTGTATTTATGGCGACACCTGAGACATTGGACATCTGAAACATTAATGGGACTACACAATGTCATTAGACTTATACAAGTGTCGCTGTGCCTATACATGTGTTATTTTTCAACAACTTCATATTATTTTGTGAAGTTAATGTGATTGTTCTGGTTTTGCTTTGAGCAGATAGGTTGAATCCTCTTCGCACATATGGGTACAACTGTATAATGTGATATTGCTAAGTAACTACAATGTTTATAGTAATTAAATACCCTTTTTAGTGTATATATTAGAAATTATTCAGGTACCTACGAATGTGAAGGTGAGATAAGAATTTTGAAGTGCACTTATTTAGATATTAGAATATGTTTTGTGTCATCAATACGACCTCTACAAGTGACACTACGGTGTTCTTGGTGCTAAGTGCTCTTCATTATTCAGAAGACAAGTCAACTTCGGAAGAGTATCATATTATGCATTCTGTGTATTGTGTATATGGGTTAAGATCAATTAGAGTGCTTATTGTGCTTCAAATTACATCTTCAATGTTTTAGTGCTGTGTTCTCCATGTTTAAGAAGACAAGTCAACTTCAAAAGTGTATATCATTATGCATCCTCTGCAGGTGTATTTAAAGTGATTCAGTTTGCCTTTGTGTAGAATGGAGTTAATCTACAAGATAAGATATTGGTTTCCGTTATGTGTTATATGATCAAATTATAGAAGATGGAGCAACACTTGTTCACTTATTCAGTACACTGAACAGATAACTCGTTGCAGTGGACTGGAGTGACGCAAGTATTCCCAGACCTCAAAATGACGCTCTGGCAAACTTTTCTGAACATTGTGTTCCAGTGACTTTCTGCATCTTTGGTGCTACTGGATTCAAGCAACTACTTGTTACAACTCCTTATTTATTTCATTTTCCTTATCTGTTTTTTTTTTCTCTTATGTTACCTTTAGATAATTATCATATATTTAATGTACCGTACATATATTTGTATCTACACATTGTGTCAAATTATTGTTACTATGATCACACAAAGAATTATCAATATATTAACTTTATATATACACAATATTTCTGTAATATAATATAGTATGTAAAAAATCAATATAATGTTTTGTCTATTATTCTGGTGATGCTTACTGCAGTACCAGAATATGTATAAATGTATACCTTAATAAATATTGATGATGATGATAATGATGATGTCTGTTTAAATTGATTTTGTATTCTTCTTGTGTTCGCCGTTCGTCTTAACAGGCGCTGATCAGCATTTATGTGCTTACTGTGTTTTAAATTGAACTGTCAGTTCATGAACTTTCCAGATGTTTTAAAACACTATCCTGTGTACTTCCTCATAAAGAGTAAGGGAAGGACTTAATTCCTGGACACCTTTCTGTTCCACGCCATTCAGCTAGAACAGCACAACCAAACCACTGTTTGTGTCTGACACTCTGTGTTCATCCCAACATTGTGACATGACTGTGAATGCTGTTAAAAACTTTCTTGAGGAATCCTACAGAATTATTGGTGAATTAAAAGACTACTGGAAGAATAACCCCAATAATAGACTGCATACTGAATCTCACCAACATTACATTGAGGACCAGTTTCATAGACTGGTATCCATAGCTCAAACCACCTTGAGGGAAAATAACTTCTCTAAGGTCCTTGATTACAGACTTGCCACGCTGGCCGTTAAAAAGAATATCTAGCAGATTGTCACTGCTGAAGGAGATAAACCAAAAAAGCCATCTCTGAGTTAGTGAAAGCAACCCGTCAAATACTATAATTAACCCTTCCTACAACTCCGACCTGCAATCAGGTAGAGCTGTTGACACTTCATATCAGAATGTGCACATCAAACCAAACAAGGAAGTTCTATTAATTTATAACAAGAAGGATAATAAAAGTAGTGAAAATACCTACAAAATAGTACATCATCATATCAACCCTTTGAAACCTGGAATAGGTGTAGAGAGGATCTGCTGTATTGGAGGCGGAGATTTTGCTATACACTTGAATAATAAAAAGGATGCAGAAAAACTTGAAAACAATGTGCAACAAAATATTCCAGAGCTTACAGCCAGAAGACCAAAGAAAAAAAATCCACACATAGTGATCTACTCAGTGCCAACACAACTGTCCCGTGATGATCTCATCAAATACTTTTGTGAATAAAATACACCCATTAATGAAAACTAATCAAAAGATTTTACTAATCAACTCAAAGTAAAGTTCAATTTGGGATGAAAAGAAGCCCCTAATCATAACTGGGCGGTGGAAGTATGGGAGCATATATGACCGTTGTGGGAACATGGTAGAAGAGTTTCTTGCTTGCAATTACCTTATGGTCGTTAATAATCCTTTATCCCCACAGACTTTCACTTTGAGTCTGCAGCACTTGAAACACTGCAGGACCAAGCAAAAGTCCGAGATCCTGCAGCGTGACCAATCTATATTTGCCTTAGCCATATTTAATAGCAATCTCCTGACAGAGGGAGACATCTCAGCCATCCAATTTTTAAAAGTTGATTCCTTTTTCCTAGTTGAAATTTGACGTGTAGTTGCTTGTCAAATTCTTCCATTGTGAATATTTTTTGTATTAGAGCATTCTGTGTATAGATTTGTCAGAAAGATCCTCCTTTGTGATGTTGGTATAAATGGAGAACAAGACCACATGTAACCACCTCTTCTTAGGTTTGTGTGATACCAATTCTGGAATATTTTCTCAATATTTTTTTTTTTTTGATGCATTGCCACAGCCCCAAGTTCCATGGCAATGCCCCCTTCCACAAACCTTGCAGATTCTATCTACCCTGATGTGCAGACCGGATAGCTTAATCTTGGCCTGCATTAGATTCTGAACATAATCACTATTCTTATTATCGTTGTCTTTGCTCTATACCAACAAGACTTCCTTTGGGAAAGTGTGTTTTGTGCCCTCCTGGTGTTCTGTTGTTATTGAGCCTCTCCTGACTACAGAGCTGTATAGGGAGCAGGAAGAGCGTGTGAAGTTGCCTTTTCTTCAATGTCATCGAGTCTTTTTAGTATGGTTTGTTGGGTGGTGTGAACACTTGTGAGAGCAGTTGCCTCAGACAGGTCCTCCTTGGTGGCAAGGGTGGCAATTTTTCTTTCGAGAGTCTCAGTTAGGCCTTTCGTTTTAAAGGTTTGAATAGCGATATTTATGATCTCAGTAACCTGGTCTGTGACGTGTCGTACAGACTCTCTAGCACCAAGTTTACTGTTGTAATTATTATGGCAGAAGTCCTTAAGCTCCTTTAAAAGATTATGAGCTTCACTTTTGAAACCTTCAATAGCGTTAGGATCCATAACGGTAAGTGGTAAACCACCAGCCAGGGAGAGTGTGTAGTGTGTTTGTAAAAGGTGGTGCAGTGTCAAGCATACTCTCCGCTGCTGAACTGTCGTTCAATAGTGCAGAGGGGAAGCAAACGGACTGGCTGGCAGTTAAAAAATGAGGTACTCACCTGGGCAGAGGTCGTAAAACTAGTGCATCCTCCAAGCGTAAGGTGTAAAATCCAAACAAATCTCTGCAGAGCAGCATGGACACAGAAGCTTTCCAGTAATCAGCTGGAAGATAGTCATAGTAGTTCAAACAGCAAAGATAAAAAAGATAAAGGGTAGAGAGCCAAAAAGACTTGACTGTACAGCCTTATGGCTAAGATCAAATGTGTAGTAGCTCAGACGGGCCCTGTGAATAAATCTCCAGTCCGCAAATGAGGTGTAGTTCCCATTGCGGAGGAAGTGGTTACTGGCCGGGTGCGCTGCTGTGGATTTAAAAGCCTTACCCTGGTCAGGTTTCCGGAGGAGTTGGAGAAGTAGGGCGTCCTTGCATCTGGCAAACAGGATACGGGAACAGCCGTTTTTGCTGAGGAGTGAGTCGCCGCAGAAGATGGAGATTAAGTTGCCGACTGGTGTCCATCCGCAGTTGATCAGTTTACGGAGGCGGCGAGTGGCGATACGAAGACGGGTCCACATCGAGGAGATGTCGTAAGATTTGGACCCGAATTCGTTGTCCATGGACCCATTTAAGTATGTGCAGAGGTCCTCTAGAGTAGGCGTCCGACTGATGCGTCTTTCAACAACATCACGTAGGAAGTCGGTGGCAAGTGAGCAGATGGTGGGGTCTTTGGAGTTGAAGAGATGTATTGCTTGAGTCACTTGCGAGATGGCGGCGAGGGTGTAGCAAGATGGAACATTGGCACCTCCGTGGTCGTGGCTAATGTTGACTATTTCCGAACTTGCCCTCTGCGGAAGATATAGCCACTTCTTCACGTGTTTGACGACATGGCGGTCAAGTTTGTGAAGGGGCTTCTTCGGGTTGGACCCCAGCAGGAAGTGGAAGGAGAGCCTTGGCAGGAGGATGGAGTTGAGAGCGTCGATCTTCTGCCAAGGAGCCAACCTGGATCTGTCGAGTTTGGTGATGTCGTCCGCAATCTTGTCGTGGATGGAGGTGTTGGTGGGGTGCGTGGCGTAACCGGTGGGTATCCCTAGGTGCTGGTACGCTTCATCGGGGCGTAGGCTAGGTAGAGGGGATCCCTGTACGCAGAACGTGGTGGCAGCAGTTGGTCGGCGTGGGTCAGATATGGACAAAGAGGCACACTTCCTGGGTTTGAAGTGGAGGCCCGCCCAGTCGGCCCAGCTGGAGATGGTGTCTAGTTGCTGCTGCAGCCCTTCTTTGGTGGAACTTATAAGGGCGAGGTCATCTGCATAGGCGATGATGCTTACCTCTTTATCCATTAGCGTGTAGCCTTGGCGGAGATTTTGGACGCTTCTGATGGCTGTTTCGATGACGATGTTAAAGATGAGTGGACTGAGGGGACACCCCTGTTTAACCCCAGAGAGGATGGGGATGTCCTCAGTGTACCCGTCGCTGGCACGAATCCTCGTGGAGCAGCCAGTCAATAGATCGGAGATGATGGCGATGCTGTCCTCGTGTAACCCGCACCATTGGAGACAACGGATGATGGTGTGGTGTGGGACCGAACCAAAGGCGTTGGCCAGGTCGAGCCACGCGATGTGGCAGTCCTTGCGTTGCCTCCTGGCGTCTTTAATGCCAGCCTGTAGAAGAAAGTTGTGCTCAAGGCACCCTTCGAAGGGGAGGAAACCCTTCTGCGAGTGGGAAAAGATGTCTCTGTCGAGACACCAGGATAGCAGGCGGCTGGCGAGGCAGGCCGAGTACAACTTGCCCTGAGTGCAAGAGAGGGCAATCGGTCGCCAGTTACTTACATCGTCCTTGTCACCACCTTTGTGGATCAGTATGGTGTTGGATAGGCTCCACCATCGTGGGATGTGGGAAGTACGCCGGATGGCGTTGAAGGCGCTGGACAAAATAACACCATGCGGATCAACGCGGCTCCAATGGTGGTAACGGAGCCCGTCCGGGCCGGGGGCCGTGTTGTGGCACTTACGGTAGCGGAGCTGGATTTCGTCCGGGGTGAAGGGAGCCGATAGCGGGTCGCTGTCTTCGTGGCGTAAAGATTCTGGAAAGAAAGTAGGCAGAGGGCCCAGATGGTGAGTGGGGGCTGCATATACTGACCTGAAGTGTTGGTATAGTGCGGCCTGGCCGATCTCACAGTAGGTGGGTTGCCCGTCCGTGACGATGGTCATTGCTTTCTTCTTATTCACCCGGTAAAGTTTTTGAATGCTGCTGGCGTCGTTGGCAGCTGCTGCACGGGGACGGCGGTTGGTAGAGGGTTCATGGACCCGGATGTTGCAGATCTGCTGCGCCAGGTTGATGAGGTCGTCAGACATGACCTCCAGCATGTCTGCGTCAAGGGCGACGTCGAAGCGGTCGCGCCAGGCCAGGGCCCAGCTCGGGATGGTGGAGGGCTCAACAGGAGGTGTCCGTGGTGGCTCGAGTTGTAAGCCTGAGAAAGGTGCAATGCTGAGGCCTGGTGGTCTCAAGGGGCCAGTGACATAGGAGTGTCGATGGGTGGAGGTGGAGGACCTGGGGAGGCGACATCGCTTCTGTCAGTAGGAGGGACCGGGGTTGGAGGAGAGCACTCAGTAGGTGGTGGTGGAGAGCCTGGTGAAGCAGGAGGAGGTCCAGAGGTGGCTGCCGGAGGTCCTGGAGAGGCCGGTGTGCTGAGGGGTTCCTCGGGTGGTGCGGGAGCAGGGTGAGTAGCTCTGCGTAGTCGGGCCCTGGTTGATCTTCTGGCAGTGCTGTGTTGTCGTGCAGCCAGAGATACATATTCCGGCGACGTAGGCGGGCTGCTGGCTGAAGATACAGAGGACTCTGCAGCTGCGGTGGAGGCGTCCGTGGGGAGGGACCTATGCCAGTTCCTGAACCGCCTGATTTTGCGGTTCTTGGGCACTGGAGCAGGAGGTAAGTAGGCCTCGATGCTGGATTTGCAGGCTGCAGACTTGGCCTGGTGGGCTTTCAAAGCTTTAAGTTTCAACAAAGTGAGGCCACAGGCACGACATTCGAAAGCAAGGCTGGTATTGTGCTCACGTTTTAAGTGGCGTACCAGGCCCGCGTGGTCCACATATTCACATGGGATGGGAAGACACAGTTCACAATTATGTGGAGGTCGTAATGGGACCAGGAGAGTCACTGGCGGCATGGCTAAGATCAGTGCGAAAAAGTGAGAGTGAAGGGGCGGGAATGCCTCCTGGGGTGCCGAAGCAGCCAACCAAGGAGAGGCAGGAAGGGGAAGAAAGAATTACTGCCCAGGCAAGCCTGTGCAGTAAAAGAAGTACATGTTGCATCGTGAACAGAGTTCACGCCGCGATAGGAAAGTCGTTGCTGGTCAGGCAGCGAATACACTGTGCGTCTAAACAGTGCAGGCCGCCCTTCCAGCGGAAGTAGGAAGGGGAATAGGAAAGAGAGAAATAAGTTAAAACAACTTACCACCTGTCGGGGAGCAAACGGCTCGGAATCCGGAGGTCATCAGCTGGAGGCAGGATCAGGCTTAATTAATGATAATCAAGCTGATAAGAACAGATTTAAAAAGCCTTTATTAATATATAAATTCAAAAAGATGATTACAGGGTATACATAGGCAAAGGTGAATATATACAAAGTGTGAGCACACTTATGTGAGCGCGACATGGGCAAAGAATTTGCCAACAGATATATACAAAAGGTGTTAACACGAAACATGGGCACGTTTGCCAGCCAGTTATTTTACAAGTACAGGTGTTGTCGCGATACATGGGCACGTTCGCCAGCCAGTCATGGAGTACATTGGTATTGGTGGTACCGAGGACATGGGCACAGTTGCCAGCCAGTATCCCATTGGGATAAAAACGCGTTTACAGAGGTACATTTACCTGGTTAGACAAAGGTTGGGTAGTCGATGTGGTGTGTGTTGGTCGGGCTTGGTTGCTGCGTCGGTTAGAGTCCAGTGGAGGTGGGCGGCGTGAGCAATCTCCCAAGTGCTGCCGGTATATGTCATTGCTCCACCTTATGGCGTCGCTAACCATCAGTCGTTTCATCATGTTAGCGTAACGACGGCCGATGTTGAGGCGATGAAGGATGGATTCATTTTGATGGTCATAACCTCCGAGCGCACCAATTATGAACGCCCCGAAGAATGTGTCGTAGCCCCGGCTGCGAAGATGTTGAACGAGGTTGTAGTATTTGCGTTCTTTTTCTTCCCTCGCAGCGTCGAAGGCCGGTCGATCGTTTTCAAAAGGGGTTGTGACATCTATTACCGTTGCAGATTTCGATTCCTCGTGCAGGATAACCAGGTCCGGCCTGCAATTTTCGTGGTATCCAGGAACCCGCTGATTCACTAGTACGGTGGCACCTCTTGGCTGGAAGGCTTTCACCAGCCGGTTCACTACGGCGTTGTGGCGCTGTGTTATAAGGCGAAAGTTAGGTGGGCAGTGGCACAGTACGTGGGAAAGCGTTTCACGAGCAAATCCGCATCGGCGGCATGATTTGGTCTCGTTCCCGAAGCGCTTGTGGCCGCGTAGAGCAACCACACTCAGCCTGGCGCGGTGAATGAAGCGCCAGTCCGAGAAGCGGGTGTACTGGCCACTGCTGAGGAAGTGATTGCTCACTTCACTCGAGGCCGTGATCTTGAAGGCCTTAACTTGATCTGGCTTCGCCGTCAATCGCTGCAGGTGGTGGAACTTCAGGAGTCTGTCAAGTACGTGTTGGCAGCCTCTTACCCGTAGGCAGTTGTTGTCTATGGCGATGGTGGGGACGTTTCCGGGCCCGTTCGTCCAGCTGATGTCGATCTTCTTTTTCAGACGTCTTGTAGCCATCCTCAGGCGAGTCCATGTCGATGTAATGTCCTTCGATGGATTTCCTAGGTCGCCATCCATGGACCCGTCGAGGTATTGGCAGATGTCGTCGATGGTCGGGGTACGTTTAATTCTGGAAGAGACCACGTCGCGCAGAGCGCCAAGTGATACGTTGATGATATTCTCGTCCCTGGAGATAAAAAGATGCATTGCGTGACACACCTGCGAGATGTCGGAGAGAAGGCTTGACGGGGTGACATTAGCGCCTCCTTGTTTGTAGGCCAAGTAGACAATCTCAGCGCTGGCCCGTTGTGGTACGCTGAGCCATCTTTTAACCAGGCGCTTGAGGACTCTGTCGATCTTGTCGAGTGTCTTTTTTGGTGTGGTTCCTGCAGTGAGACAAAAAGACAGCCGTGGCATGACGAAGGTGTTTAGTGCGTCGAGTTTTTGCCAGGGTGCTAGGTGGGATGAGTCAAGCTTGTACATATCACGAACTACGCCCTCGGTGGTGGATGCTTCCGTGTCGCATCTCGAGAATCCGGTGGGGACCCCGAGATGCTTGTAGGCATCGTCGTTGCCGAGCCTCGGGAGGTCGGCTTGGTCAAGGGAGAAGGTGTTGGTACCTACGGAATGAAGCTTACCTAATACGGCAAGTGTGCCGCATTTTGCGTGATTGAATTTGATGTTTGCCCATTTCGCCCATGCGGCGATGGAGTCCAGCTGAGCTTGGAGCCCCTGGCTGCTGCTGCTGACCAACGCAACGTCGTCGGCGTAGGCCAAGGCGTCGACAGTGTGGCCGTGGATGGTGTATCCTTTCTTCAAGGCTTGGAGTCGACGGAGGGCAGGCTCAACTGTAAGAATAAAAAGAAGTGGGCTGATGGGGCAGCCCTGGCACACACCTAACAGCATGGAAACAGGTTCGGTTAAGCCTGTGCAGGTGCGGATCCTAGTAGTGGAGTTCTCATAAAGCAATTGGATGGTGGCGATGGCGTCAGGGTGCAAGCCATGCCATTTCAGCGATTCCCATATGATGGAGTGGGGAATGATTCCAAATGCGTTGGCAATATCCAACCAGGCTATGAAGCATTCGTTACGAGTGCGCCTGGCGTCTTGGATAATCGACTTTAGCAAGAAGTTGTGCTCCACACAACCTTGATAGTGGAGAAACCCCTTTTGAGCGGTGGAGATGCGATTGTTCTGGTCGCACCATTTCAAGAGCCTATCCGCCAGGCAAGCGGTGTAAAGCTTACCTAGGGTGTTGGATAGGGAAATCGGTCGCCAGTTCCTAAGGTCCGATTGGTCCCCTTTTTTGTAAAGTAGTACGGTGGTGGAAACCCGCCAAGCTTGGGGGATGTACCCAATCCTTTGCACAGCATTGAAGAGTGCTGCAAGAATAATACCTTTCGGGTCCACCCGCCTCCAGTGCAGGTAACGTATTTTGTCTGGGCCCGGTGCGGTGTTATGTCCCTTGGCGATCCGTACAGCGACTTCTTCCGATGTGAATGAGATGTTGATTGGGTCCGTAGTCGTCGTGGGAGCTGGATCTGGGTCGATAGGCACTGGGGTGGTTTCCCTAAGAGGACAGATTTCATTAATGTTTTTAAAGTGGTGGTAGATTACCTCGGGGTCGACCTGGCAGAAGCGGGATTCGCCACCAATTATGTGATCAAAGGCCCGCTTTCTGTTGGTACGGTAGAGCCGCTGGATGTGGCTGGCCTCTAGTTGACGGGAGGAGTTGCGGTCCGAGGTATTCTATTGGTTGCGTCTTGGTCCCTGAATGTCGCAGATTTCGTAGGTCAGTCTCATAAAGTCGTGCAGGACGCCTTCGAGCATATCCTCGTCGAGCGTAGCGTTGAAACGGTCAGCCCATGCTGTAACCCATTGAGGGGGGCCGCCGCTAGCATCTGCAGATGATTGTAAGTCGCTCGGTGGGAGTGCAGTGGCTGGAGGGCTGGGCTGCGTCGATGGAGCCTGGTGCGGAGGTGACGGAGGGTCCGTTGGCGGTGAGGCGATGTTATCTCTAGTGGTGGTAACAGTCTGTACAGGGGTAAAGTAAGAATGGTTCGCCTTACCTGGTGGCGGACATGGGGTGTCACCTGTTAGTTGCGTGGGGCTGGCTGGCACCGGTTGACTGACGCTGCGAGGTGGAGATGGGTCCGGATCCTTCCTTGTAGAGCTTCTCGTGTTTCTCCGTCGCTTCGTCGAGGTAGCTGTGGAGCGTTGCGACGCTGTGCTAGTTGCTGGCACCATTGCACTTGCTGCTGCTACCTGGCTGTAGAGACGTGGCGTGCTGGATGTGCTGGCAGTTGGACTACGTTGCGACGGTTGGCTTTCCTCCGTAATAGTTTGGATGGACCTAGTGGCCCTCCTGTTCCGTGGCGCCGTCTGCCTGGTCGGCGGGGAAGGGGGTGCTGAGCTCCAGGACGAATCTCCACTGGGCGGATTGGCTGGCGTTGCTTTGGGCTTCCTCCGGACATAAGGTTTTCTCGGCCTGGTTGGAATGCATATCTTCTTACGATCTGCCGGGAGCGCAGGAGGGGGCGACAGAGCCTCAATCTTAGCACGGCAGTCGTCGACACGCAATTGATGAGCCTTCACAGTTTTTAGTTTTTCGTGAGTGTATCCACACGCACGACACTCGAATTGGAGTGTAGTGCTGTGGATAAGCTTCAGGTGCTTAACTAGCCCGGCATGGTCCGCATAGTCCCGGGGAATTGGCAGACATAGCTGGCAACCATGGGGCGGGTGGAGAGGCACAAGTACAGTTTGAATTGACATGGCTTAGTAAGACCAATGTGTAGCAGAGAGACAGAAGGGTAAAGAGTGGAAAGCCCCCTGGGGTGCAGAGCAGCCAACCAAGGAGGGGCGGGAAGGGGAAGAAAGAAGGTGTCCTGAGTGAAACACCACGGGCTTTAAGGACTACGGGGTGTCCAAGTGGAGCACCAGAAAAGCTACCGGCCTAGGCTGGTAACGATAGACGAAAGTGTTGCCAGTCGAGCAGCGAATACACGGTGCGTTTAAACCGTGCAGGCCGCTCTTCCGGCGGAAGAGAGAAGAGTGTAGGACAGAGAAAGTAGCAAAACCAAAATATACTTACCCAGAGGTCTGGGGAGCAATGTGGGGCTCGAAGTCCAGTTCTGGTCCTTAATTTAGGCAAGGAACATCAAGCTGATAAGAACAGATACTACACATTTGATCTTAGCCATAAGAGTAATGGCTAAGATGAAATGTGTAGTCTCCTCGACAAAACCATCAAGCGGCACGTCAAAAAATGGATGAACCTGCCGCAACGTGCCTCCCCAGAGGTCGTCCATATGCCGAACTGCCAAGGTGGAGCCAACATCTCACCGTGTGCAGTACTAGCCGACGTCGCCCAGGTGAGTCATGCGGTCAATTTATTTCTATCTAGGGACAGCAACGTCACCAGCCTCGCCACCATGACCCTCAAAAAGGTCGTTGAAAAACGCCTCAGACGCGAACCCACCAACGCCGACCTGTGTACATACCTGGCTGGGTCCATGGAAAATGAGTTTGGATGTGATCCATATGACGTCCCTTCCCTCTGGACCCGACTCAGGATGGCCACACGACGTTTAAGAACCCGCATCGACCTCACCTAGACCCCAAACGAAGACGGCACCCTCGCTCCCTCAGTCGACGGCAAGCCACTCAACAAGTCCAACGCAGTCAGCACCATCACCGCAGCAGTTAAATCTACATACCTAACGGCCCTCTTAAGAAAACCCGACCAAGGCAAAGCATTCCGCCTAATTGCAGGTAACCACAACTCTAACCATTTCCTGCGAGATGGGAACTTTACTAGCTTCGCCGAATGGAGGTTTATTCACCGGGCAAGACTCAGTGTAGTCCCCCTCCGCGGCCTACGCCGCTTCGGTAATGCCTCCCAGAACTGTCGACGATGCCAGCGGCACAGAGAAACTTTGGCGCACGTGATTAATCACTGTCCGCCAAATTTCTCCCAGATCACCAAACGACACAACTCAATACTCAGCCGCCTCCTGAATGCCTTCGACCGGAAACAAGCCACGGTGTACTCAAACCAATGTGTTCCAGGATACACAGGCAACTGTCGACCCGACCTCGTCATTGTAAACCATGAACCAAAAACGGCAACAATCATAGACGTCGCCACGCCGTTTGAAAATGGCGAAGAAGCATTCAACAGAGCCCGCGAGGAAAAAATCAAAAAGTACGAAGACCTCGCCGCCTACTTCCGCAGCCGTGGCTTTGACACATTCATTGATGCTTTCGTCATTGGCGCTTTAGGCAGCTATGACACCGCAAACGAAAGTGTTATTCAACGCCTCGGCATCTCGAGAAGATATGCAAAATTGATGCGCTACCTTATGGTAAGCGATTGTATAAAATATAGTAAGGACATTTACATGAACCACGTCTGCGGTCGCCGCCAACAATAACTACTGTTACTTTCCGCGTCCAGACTATTGTATTATTTTTGACAGGCTAGAGCCCATGTAAACGCGCACATCTCTCATTGTACATATCTCCGGCTTGAGCCCATGGAACGCGCAGAGGACTTCTGTCCTCACATACTTCTTTCACCAACCACTTTGTATCTTACTGGCTGGCTAAGTGCCCATGTTCTCACCTACTGATCTACCAATTTCACTGTACATACTTATTGATTATAATAAATGGCTAAGATCAAATGTGTAGTCTTCTCGGCCTTATGGCTAAGATCAAATGTGTAGTACCTTTGTACTTATCCTCTCCTTTTTTATCACACCCCACATTTTTGTATATATTTTAAAGGAATTTAAATAAAATCGTTTATATCTGTTCTTATCAGCTTGATGATCTTTGGCTAAATTAAGGACCAGACCTGGATTTCGAGCCTTACATCGCTCCCCAGTCCTCTGGGTAAGTATTTTTGGTTTACTTGTTTCTCTTTCCTCTACTCTTCTCTCTTCCGCCAGAAGAGCGGCCTGCACGGTTTAAACGCACCGTGTATTCGCTGCTCGACTGGCAACACTGTCGTCTATCGCCACCAGCCTAGCCTGGTAGCATTTCCGGTGTCTTGCTCTTACACCCCTGGGTGTTTCACTGAACACCTTGTGGTGTCTTGCCTGATCACCTCTATCTTCCTCTTCCCGCCTCTTCTTGGTTGGATGCGTAAGCACCCCAGGGGGCCTTCCGCTCTTACCCCTCTCTTATCACTTTGATCTTAGCCATGTCACGTGTGACACTCCTCGTCCCACTACAACCGCCGCATGGTTGTCCACTGTGCCTCCCAATCCCAAGGGAGTACATTGACCATGCTGGCCTAGTGCGACACCTGAAACGTGAACATTCTACGGAGCTGAACTTCGAATGCCGGGCATGCGGCATCGTCATGACAAAACTTAAGGCCCTGAAATTGCACCAGACAAAGGCCAAATCATGCAAAGCCAGCATCGAGTCCTTCTCGCCAGCTCCCATTCCGGAAAACCGCAGAATACGACGTTTCACGACCAGGCCCAGACATCGCCAAGTGCGCCGTGCCACCATTGCCACAGCCATGGACACCACTACCTCACCGTGCTCTGACACCAGTGCCTCTCCTCCGCAAAACAACACCTCTCCAACAACGAGCAGCCACAACAATCGACGGAGATCGGGTCGGACCCAAATGAGAAGAACCACCAACCCGGCACCCATTTCACCGGAGGACAACGCACCCGCAACAGTCGATTCTCGCCATACCGCCAGCAGCACCCCACCTGCTACTCCGAGGCACCATACCGCACAGCCTGTGGTCATCATCTCGCCATTGCCTAATAGCAACTGGACGAGAAGCGAACCCTTTCTTTCCAGGCCCCCATCACCACCTACGGACCAGCCACATGTACCCGTACCAGAGGCTCAACCAAACCCCGGATGCCCGCCACCAGCATGCGCCCCGGTTGAACTTCAGCCTCCAACAGACCAGCAATCGACGGATGTCCCCAGCTGGGCCCTCGCCTGGAGAGATCGATTCAACATAGCACTGGACCCTGATATGCTGGAGGTCATGACCAATGACCTCGTCACTATGACACAAGAAATGTGTGCCATCAGGGTACACGAGCCCACCACAAATCGCCACCAACAGCCTATCACGGCATGCGACGCCAGCAAAATCCAGAAGCTGTATAGGATAAACAGGAAAAGGGCAATGACCATCATAACTGAAGGCCAACCGACCTATTGCGAAATAGACAAAGACTGCCTCTACGAACATTTCAGGTCAGTACATTCCTCACCCACTGACTCTCAGGGCCCATGCCCTACCCTTTTCCCACAGACGCTTCAACATGACAACAACGACCCGCTGACAACGCCTTTTACCCCCGAGGAAGTAAAAGCTCGATTCAGACGCTGCCACAACACAGCCTCAGGTCCTGATGGTCTACGTTATCAACACTGGAACCGCCTGGACCCTCATGGTGTAATACTGAGCAGCGTATTCAACGCAGTCCTGAGGACTTCCCACATCCCGCAAGGATGGCAAAAATCCAATACCATACTTATCTACAAAGGCGGAGATAAGCAAGACGTCACCAACTGGCGTCCTATCGCCCTCTCTTGCACACTTGGCAAACTGTACACAGCTTGCCTTGCCAACCGCCTCCTAACCTGGTGTCTTGATAATAACATCTTTTCCCATTCACAGAAAGGCTTTCTCCCGTACGAGGGTTGTTTAGAACACAACTTCCTGCTACAAGCATCAATAAAAGACGCAAGACGCCAACGCAAGGACTGCCACGTAGCGTGGCTTGACATTGCCAACGCGTTTGGATCGGTACCACACCGCACCAACGCCCAATGTCTCCAGTGGAGCGGCCTCCATGAGAAGAGCATTGAAATCATCATGAACCTCTTAGCCAACAACTCCACAAGGATCCGGGCCCAAGACGGATATACCGATGACATCCCAATCCTCTCAGGCGTCAGACAGGGCTGCCCCTTAAGCCCACTTATATTCAACATCGTAGTGGAAACGGCCATCAAATGCGTAAAGAGCCTCAACAATGGCTACAACCTCATGGGAGAAGAGGTAAGTATTATCGCCTACGCAGATGATCTTGCCCTCATCAGCGCCACCAGAGAAGGCCTCCAACAACAACTGGACGCCATCACGGAATGGGCAGACTGGGCTGGCCTCCACTTCAAACCTAGGAAATGCGCCACCCTCTCAGTCATCGGCCCTCGGCACACCACCGAAAACATCACTTTCAGCATCCAGGGATCCACACTTCCAAGCCTTAGCCCAGACGACACATACAAACATCTTGGCGTCCCGACGGGCTTCTCTACTCACCCAACGGACCCCGACATCTTCAACAAAATCTCCGAGGACATTCCCCGACTTGACAGAGCTAAACTGGCCCCCTGGCAGAAGATTGATGCACTAAACACCATTCTTCTGCCAAGGCTATCTTTCCACCTTCTTGCAGGTTCCAACCCTAAAAAGCCACTGCACAAGTTGGACCGCCACATCGTGAAACACACCAAGAAGTGGATGAATCTCCCACAAAGAGCCAGTTCTGAGATCATCAATATCCCCAACGACTTCGGCGGCGCTAACATCCCATCTTGTTATACTCTAGCGGCCATCTCTCAAGTCACCCAGGCAATGCACCTGCTGACCTCCAAAGACCCTACCATCTGCCTCCTGGCCACCAGTTTCCTCAAAGACGTGGTGAGAAAACGTATCTACCGAGACCCGTCCCTCGAGGATATCTGTACCTACTTAAATGGATCCATGAACGACGAGTTCGGCGCCAAGTCATACGACATCTCATCAATATGGACGAGACTTCGAATAGCCACTCGTCGCCTCCGCAAGACCATCGATTGCGGCTGGACCCCAGTAGGAAATACCATCGCCATGGCCTGCGAGAACAACCTTACCAACAGAGCCAATTGTACCAACGTTCTATCTACCAAATACAAATTAGCTCAACTGAACTGCCTGCTAAGAAAACCCGACCAGGGTAAGTCTTTTAAAATCATTTCAGGACACCCTGCAAGCAGCCACTTCCTCAAGAGCGGTAATTACACGACCTTCGCCGACTGGCGCTTTGTACACAGAGCTCGCCTCAGCATCGTCCCCCTCCATGGACATCGGCGCTTCGGGAATACATCTAAGAAATGCAGGCAGTGCAACTATCCCCGAGAAACTCTAGCCCATATGCTTAATCACTGTACTCGGAACTTACACATGGCCACCAAACGCCATGATGCAGTCTTAAACAGACTCCACCACGCCATCCGACCCGGAAACTTCGAAATCCTCACCAATCAACAGGTCCCCGGGTACAACGACAGATGCCGACCAGACCTAGTGGTCATTAGCGACACGGCAAAAACCGCAACGATTGTGGACGTATGTATCCCCTTTGAAAACGGCCAAGACGCCTTTGATATAGCAAGACGAGCCAAGGAAGAAAAATACCGCAACGTTAAAGAATACTTCAGAAGGCAAAGCTATAACACCACCTGCGACGCCTTCATCCTCGGATCCCTGGGAGGTTATGACCATCAGAACACCTCCGTCCTACAACGTCTCGGTATCTCCCGCAATTACAGCAGAACCATGATCAAACTCATGGTTAGCGACACGATTCGCTGGAGTAGGGAGATCTACCACCACCACCTTCAACGTCCCAATTAATCATCTTGTCGCGTGTCACTCTATGTAATTACCATCTTACAGCTGGCACATCCTGAGCCCATGTCGCGAGTACACTCTAATCTGTCGCGACCCATGGCTGGCATCTTTGAGCCCATGTCTCGGTTGATCATTGTACCTGTCGCGTCCCGTAGCTGGCATTGAGCCCATGTCACGTGTGTACCCTACTATTGGTTAGGGTCACTCACCTCTTTGTGGCCACCACGGCCCTTCCTTATATTTACATCATTGTACATTGAAATTTTAGTCTTCAATAAAAAGTTTTTACATCTGTTCTTATCAGCTTGATGTTCTTTGCCTAAATTAAGGACCAGAACTGGACTTCGAGCCCCACATTGCTCCCCAGACCTCTGGGTAAGTATATTTGGTTTCTCTAATTTCTCTTTCCTACACTCTTCTCTCTTCCGCCGGAAGAGCGGCCTGCACTGTTTAAACGCACAGTGTATTCGCTGCTCGACCGGCAACACTTTCTCTGTCGTCGCCAACCCAGTTTGGCGACGTGTCGGTGCTCTGCGTGAGCACCCTTTCTGCCCCTTTCTTCCTCTTCCTGCCCCTCCTTGGTTGGCTGCTCTGCACCCCAGGGGGCATTTCCGTACTTTTCTCTCACTTTGATCTTAGCCATGCCTCAGGTGGCGCTTTTGGTTCCCCTCCATCCACCACACAACTGTCCTTTGTGCCTCCCTATTCCTAGGGAATACATCGATCATGCGGGCCTTGTCCGCCACTTAAGGAGGGAACACGCCACTGAGCTAAATTTTGAATGCCGGGTCTGTGGCCTCATAATGTCAAAGTTGAAATCCATGAAAGCCCACCAACTTAAAGACGGCGCCTGCAGAGCCAGTATCGAGGCCTCTACTCCGCCAGCTCCTATACCTGAGAATAGGAGAATATGCCGCTTTCGTACCAGACCCAGGCAACGCCGAGACCGTCGGGCCACTACAACTCCGCCCGCCAACGACGATACCTCTTCACAATCGACAAACAGCCCATCACCTTCTCAGGGCGACTGGACGCCAGTCTCACGTCGTCGGAGCAATCGGAGGAGATTGAACGGAGCTCAACAGCACCGGGCCACCCGCCCCGCACCTACCTCGTCTCCGACCAGTGCGGGCCCTTCTGTGGCACTCGATCCTCCCCCTCCTCCCTGCGGCACCCCGCCGCTCGTTGCTCACTGCACTGCGTCCCCACCGCCCCCCACCTCAATCCTGACTTCACGCAATAGTCAGTGTATCACTGCCCTGTCTCCCAGACCACAGCATCCGCCTTCCATTCACGACGTTCCGCAGACAACTAGTTCGCCCATTCTGCTGGGCAATAGGCCGTCTTCTCGTGCGGACCCTTCGATGGAGCACTCACAACCACCCTCGCAGTCCTCCTCAGCTGTTCCCAGCTGGGCCCTCGCCTGGAGGGATAGGTTTGAAGTGGCTCTAGATCCTGATATGCTGGAGGTCATGGTCGACGACTTCGTGGCACTGGCACAACAGATATGTGACGTTAGGGTCTTCGAACCTTCCAACAACAATCGTCACCAGCCAGTCTCAGCCACCGATCCTAGTAGGATTCAAAAGTTATATAGGATCAATAGAAAACGGGCAATGACCATAATAACCGAGGGCCAGCCAACCTACTGCAACATAGACCGCGACCAGCTCTACCACCACTATCGGTCAGTCTATGCCGCCTCCTCTCAACACCAAGGCCCACGTCCATCTTCCTTCCCAACAGCCTTGCACCACGACTTTAATGACCCACTATCTGCACCCTTCACTCCATCAGAAATCCAAACTCGCTTCAAGCGTTGCCACAACACCGCTCCAGGGCCTGATGGGCTCAGATACCACCACTGGAGCCGGATAGACCCGCACGGTGTCATGTTGTGCAGCTTATTCAACGCGGTGCAAAGGACGTCTCACATCCCTCGCTGGTGGCGGTGTTCCAACACCATCCTCCTCTACAAAGACGGCGACAAGCAAGATGTCAACAACTGGCGTCCGATCGCCCTATCTTGCACTCTAGGCAAGACATATTCTGCCTGTCTCGCCAGCCGTCTCCTATCCTGGTGCCTAGATAATCGCATCTTTTCCAACTCACAGAAGGGGTTCCTCCCCTATGAAGGCTGTCTAGAGCACAATTTCTTATTGCAAGCCACCATTAAGGACGCCAGGCGTCGGCGATCCGAATGCCACATCGCGTGGCTCGATATTGCCAACGCCTTTGGTTCCGTCCCCCACCACACCATTATCCAATGCCTCGAGTGGTGTGGACTTAGCGAGGACAGTATCACCAGCATCTCTAACCTACTAGCCAATTGCTACACCAGAGTCAGAGCTAGCAATGGTTACACCAACAACATCCCCATCCTCTCTGGGGTTAAGCAAGGATGCCCCCTCAGCCCATTAATTTTTAACATTGTAATTGAGACGGCTATCCGTCACGTCAGAGACCTGAAAGAGGGCTACACTCTCATGGGTGAGGAGGTAGGCATCATTGCATATGCGGACGATCTGGCCTTAGTCAGCGCCACCAAAGAAGGTCTACAGCGGCAGTTAGATGCCATCACCGAGTGGGCTGACTGGGCGGGCCTCAGATTCAAGCCGAGGAAGTGTGCCACACTGTCGATCATTGTGGCCCGGCACACTTCGGACAACATCACCTTCAGTCTGCAAGGCTCGCAACTCCCCAGTCTCCGCCCCGACGAAACCTACAGGCATTTAGGGGTCCCCACAGGGTTCGCCACAAACCCAACTGACTCCAGCATCTTTCAAAAGATTACGGATGACATCACCCGCCTGGATCACTCTAAGCTAGCTCCTTGGCAGAAGATCGATGCTACGAATACCATCCTTCTGCCAAGGTTATCATTCCATCTGCTAGTGGGTTCGAACCCAAAGAAGCCCCTACACAAACTGGATCGCCACATAATTAAACACGCCAAGAAGTGGCTAAACTTACCCCAGAGGGCAAGCTCCGAGATTGTCAATATCGAACATGACTATGGAGGTGCGAACATCCCCTCCTGGCCATCTCACAGGTTACCCAGGCGATGCACTTATTTACTTCTAAGGACCCCACCATCTGCTCCTTAGCCCTCAGCTTCCTCAAAGACGTGGTCAAGAAGAGAATATACCGCGACCCGTCCTTGGAGGACGTTTGTACCTACCTTAACGGGTTCATGAGCGACGAATTTGGTGCAAAATCATACGATATCTCGTCTATATGGACTCGCCTTCGCATAGCCACTCGTCGGCTCCGCAAAACCATCAATTGCGAATGGACTCCGGTAGGCGACACCATTGCCATCGCCTGTGATGACAACCTGGTCAACAGATCCAGCTGCACTAAAATCTTGTCTATGAAATTCAAGGCGGCACAGCTTTCCCGCCTGCTTAGGAAGCCTGATCAAGGCAAGGCCTATAGATGTACAGCCAATCACCCCGCCAGTAATCACTTCCTTCGCAGCGGCAATTACACAACATTTGCGGACTGGAGATTTGTCCACCGTGCTCGCCTGAGCGTTGTCCCGCTCCACGGACTTCGACGATTTGGCAATGCCTCCACTAAATGCAGGAGGTGCAGCCATCCCAAAGAAACATTGGCGCATGTGCTTAACCACTGCACAAGAAATCTACACATTGCCACCAAGCGCCACGACGCAGTATTGGGGAGACTTCAACGTGCAATCCGGCCCGACAATCTTCAAATCTTCGTTAACCAGCAGGTCCCCGGATTCGACAACCGCTGCCGTCCAGACCTCGTGGTAATATGTGAAGACGCCAAGACGGCAACAATAGTAGATGTCTCCATTCCCTTCGAGAACGGACAAGAAGCATTCAGTATCGCCAGACAGTCCAAGGTGGATAAATATAGGAGCTTAACCAACCACTTCAGAAGTCTGGGCTATGATACAGTATGCGACGCGTTCATCTTAGGATCTCTCGGCGGATACGACATCAACAACACATCCATCCTCCAACGGCTAGGTATCTCCCGAAAGTACAGCAGTACCATGATCAAACTCATGGTGAGCGATACAATTCGCTGGAGTCGGGAGATATACCATCACCATCTCCAAACCTTCCGCTCAACCAACTAAACTTGGACTTTGTACGCATATGCTGGCACCCTGTGCCCATGTCGCGATTTCTCTTACTCTATTGTCGCGTCTAAACAGCTGGCAGTAAGAGCCCATGTCGCGTATACTCACCAAATACTCTGTCGCGTCTCTAAGCTGGCAGCATGTGCCCATGTCGCGGACAACCATCTCTATCACTGTCGCGTCTACTAGCTGGCATAAGTGCCCATGTCGCGACCACTACATCATGACAGGCGAACAAGCCCATGTCGCGATACTCAACCCAGCCTCCAGACTTATCTATAGGCACGGGAATTAACATCTTGTAAATACTCCTATCGGCCATCTCGGCCGCCCATGTAATTATATATTCTCATCATCCTTTAATGTACATTTATTAGTCTGAATAAAAAGTTTTCAAATCTGTTCTTATCAGCTTGATTATATTAATGTAATTTCGCTGTTTCTTTTCAGGTTGCCAACCGGATTCCGAGCTGAGTGCTCCCCGGCCTCTGGGTAAGTTTTACTGACTTCTCTGTCCTACCTTCTTCTCTCTTCCGTCGGAAGAGCGACCTGCATGGTTTAAACGCACCGTGTATTCGCTGCTCAACCGGCAACACTGTTCCTATCGGCGCCGTTTCCGGTAGCGATTCGGTGCTCTGCGCGAGCATCCTTTCCATAGCGTATAGCTACTCTGTACGCTACTTTTTCTTCCCCTTCCTGCCTCTTCTTGGATGGTTGCCCCAAGCGCCCCAGGAGGCTTTTCCGCCCCTTTCTCCTACCAATTTCCTACGCATTTGATCACCCATGCCAGAAGAGACAATACTTGTCCCTCTTCAACCGCCGCATGGTTGCAGACTCTGTCTGCCCATCCCTAGGGAATACTCTGACCATGCGGGTCTGGTTAGGC